CCAGCCCAGGTGCCCTTCCCACCCTGTGGTTTGGGGGCCGCTGTGCAGCCTCCAGCTCGAGCCCCGGGAGCCCGTGCAGCCTGCACCCTCTGAGAGCAGCGCCGCTCCCGAGGTGGGGTGGTGTCGGGGCTGCTCTAGTTCCTTCCTCCCCAAGAAATAGGTGCCAGGCTGGGTTTGCTCTGGAAAGTGACTGTGAAAAGGCCTTAACTCCGCTAACTTTTGTCTCAACAGCTACAAGGGCTCTTACTCAGCCTGCTCCTATGTATAGGCAGTGACTTTTTTTGGCAGACAAGGGCCTGATCCTGTAGCCCCAAGGAAGTTAATTCAGCTGACTTACATATGCGAGGTTCTGAGCCTAGGGGCCCTAGCATTGCCAGATGGTTTCAACAAAAATACTGGACACACTTGACATTACATCACAATCTACATTACATCTTATTTAGAAAATACCGGACATTTATACTTTCTCATTTGTATTTTCTCAATTTGTTTCCTTAACAGAAAGCTCAAATACTGGACTGTCCGGTTCAAAACCAGACACCTGGCAATCCTAAGGGACCCTCATCTGTTGCTCCCAAAGACAGGCTAATCTTACCCAAGGGGCTGGAACAATTTTTTGTAGTTAGGAATGTGTATGATGGAAGCCCTGTATTTGGTGTTTGTTGTTAATAGTCATAGCCTGGGATGCCAGAGCACTTCCATCACTTCTGGTTCCAGCATCACTGCTACTGTCTTACAGATAGGAGATATGATAAGGATGTTAAATATCGGTTAATTGAGCAGTTGATTAACCTCATGAGTTCTTTTCGATTACTTGACTATTTTATAGTCCCCAGGAGCCAGGCCAGCAACCAGCGTGCTTTAGCCCCACTCCTGAGGAGCCCCTTGGCAGCAGCGTGGGGTGCCAGGCGGGGGCTGGTCCATGAGGGAGGCCAGTTTAAAAACCATCTCCCCTCACTGACTGGCTGCCTGTCACCCTGTGCTGCTGCTTCTCACACAGAGACAGCAGCGTGGGATGGCAGCAGCCCCTGACTGTGCGTGTGTGTGTGTCTGAACTCCCAGACCCAGTATGAGCTGGAACTGGGCCAGTCTGCCTGCCCGCCTGGCTCCTAATACACTTTAAATTCAGAGCCACAGAGGGGGTTGGTTCCAGACTAGTGAAAGCCTGGACTGAGCTGGGCTGCCTGCCCACCCGGCTACTAATACACTTCAAATGCAGAGCTGTAGCAGGGGTTGGTCCTGGACCCAGCACAAGCCAGGACTGAGCTGAGCTGCTAAAAAATTTACTGTCGGGGTTGGGGTGGGGAATGCACATAGTCTATAGCAATTATCTATAAGCTTTTGCTTATCGATTATTGACTATACTATTACACTCCTAGGAAATGAGGCATAAAAAAGTGAAGTGATTTGTTGATGGTCACACAGCACATCAGTGATGTAGATGGCAACAGAACCCAACCATTCTGTCAGACAAGTCCAGTGTCTGGCTACTGTACTGTCTTAGTATTGCCTTTTCAGCTAAGTGATGCAGTTTCTGTATAACAGTTTGTGTTGCAGTCTTTCTAACGTTTCAGTTAAGAGCAAGTTCTGAAATCAAATATATGTTATGTGTAGAAAGTTCTATTACATGCAGTGTAGTTAGAGATAACGTATAACAATGGTTTGGCGGTCAGATACTTTTTAAAGAAAATATATTGAAATAAAACTAGTATAGACAGTGTTAAAGCTAATTAAGAATGGTGTCGAAGATGTTGCAGTAGACCAAACTAATTTGCTAGAATTTGGAATGCTAAATTAAGCTTTATTAAATAAAAAAATCTTAAATTGTAATACTTAATTAGTCATTAGTGCATTCTGAAATAGTATTCTTGGACATGTTTAACAAATGTTGTCCAGGATCATGCAGGCTCTTCTATCTGTGCAGATGTATTTTATTGGGGATCTGTGTATGTGAAGAGGAGCAGCCCATGTAAAACAACTTGTGGCAGCTGGGCCTTTGTATGCACCATTCTGAGATAAAAACAGCCATTAGTGGCTTTTGCCAATGTTATATGGTATTGCAAATATTCCTTTTTTTTTTTAAATCAAGCTTAAAGTGTGAAGTGAAACCCAATGTGTCTGTCACCTTATTAAATAGTATTTAAAAAGACATAACTCGTATTGGTTATAGGGATGTAGACAGGTAACCGGTTACTGGTAAGCATCACCCAGTGAGGTGATGCTTACTGAGTGGCTAGTTAACTGGTGTACAGCCTGGTTGGAGCAACCCCACCAGCAGTGCGCCACGGACAAGGGGCTGCTCTAGCCTGGCCAGGTCGCTGCACAGCGGACGGGGAGCAGTCCAGCATGCTGGAGCAGTATCCTGCCTGTGGTGCAGTGTGGCAAGCCCTGCCCGGCTTGGCTGGAGCAACCCCTGATGTTATATGTTTATCTTGTTAACATTTTAAATGGGATTTTTGCTTCCCTAACTGATGGTTCAGTTTTCCACTTACCTCTAACTGGTTTTACAGAAAGACCTAAATTGCCTGATAATTACACTCAGGACACTTGGCAGAAGCTTGATGAAGCAGTGAGAGCTATACAAAGTAGCACCTCTATTAAATACAATCTTGAAGATCTTTACCAGGTAAGAGACAAGTTTTTGTGTTGTATTTTTTAGAAAAACTAGGAAAATGGTAGAATATAATACTGATTGCTTTAGAATTTTCATGGTCCTAAACAGTGGAAATGTAAATGGGATTTTTATGTTTACAGTGCATATTGTTCTGACTACGGATCAGTTCAATGTTCTGTTCCTAACATGTTTATCATATTCCAGATCAGTGACTTCCCAAATGTTCTCCTTGGAATTTTCTGGAATAATGGAGCACTAGCAGGATTAGGGTTCATCTAACTAATGCTAGTCATATTGAAGGCTATGGAAGCATGTATTTTGGCAGGAGTCAGAATGAGGGACAAAGGGCAGAGACTATAAGTTGTAGTACTCTTCCAATCTCTGCTGATTCTGTATGCTGAAATGAGATGTTATGCTCATTAGAGTATGCAGGTACTCAGAGTCCTAGTAATAACTGGTTCTCTTATTTGCATGCTGTGACCTGCCATGCAGGGCTGGTCTTACCATGAGGTGAACTGAGGGGCGGGGGGCACCACTAGGACCCAGAGTGTAGAAAATTGTCTGCTGCTGGTGCATACGTATTTTCTCTGCTCTAAATGCACAGAGATGGTGGAGTGCTGTTCTGGAGGAAGGAGGGCACAAGAGACCTAACAGGCAGGCAGAAGAAAAGGTGGCATGGGGATGTCATTTGAGCTCCCTGCCTCAGGTGCCAAAATGTTGTGGGCCGGCCCTGCTTCCATGAAAAAGGATAACAATGTTACAATATTCATTGTCACAATTAATTTTCAGAGTCAACACTCTTAGTACTGACTGAGTGGGCAACAAAGTATCATTTCACATTTAGAAGAAAACTTAAAAAACAGCGAATGGTCCTGCAGCACCTTAGGGTATGTCTACACTACCCCGCTAATTCGAACTAGCGGGGTAATGTAGGCATACCGCAATTGCAAATGAAGCCCGGGATTTGAATTTCCCGGGCTTCGTTTGCATAAGCCGGGCGCCGCCATTTTTAAATCCCGGCTGGTTCGAACCCCGTGCCGCGCGGCTACACGCGGCACGAACTAGGTAGTTCGAACTAGTCTTCCTAGTTCGAACTACCGTTACTCCTCGTGGAATGAGGAGTAACGGTAGTTCGAACTAGGAAGCCTAGTTCGAGCTACCTAGTTCATGCCGCGTGTAGCCGCGCGGCACGGGGTTCGAACCAGCCGGGATTTAAAAATGGCGGCGCCCGGCTTATGCAAATGAAGCTTGGGAAATTCAAATCCCAGGCTTCATTTGCAATTGCGGTATGCCTACATTACCCCGCTAGTTCGAATTAGCGGGGTAGTGTAGACATACCCTTAGAGACTAACAAAAATATAAATAGTATCATGAACTTTTGTGGGCACGACCCACTTCTTGAGATGAAATGGATTGTGCCTGAGAAAGCTCATGATACTGTGCAACTGAAATGAATGAGTTTCTACTTGGACATGTGTTAAACATTGCTATAGCCCTCTAGGGATACAAAACTTGTATCTGCATCCAGTCTACAAATATGGTCTGCAGACATCTGCATCCACATCTGTGGATATAAAGTGGACATTCACATTTTTGCTGGGCTGTACTCTTTGCAGTATCATGGTCTCAGAAATTGCATATCACTGGAAGTGGTCTACAGCTTTCATTGGAGTTCTGTAGAGTTATTAGCAGGGAGCATGCTGAGAACCTAGCAGTGTGCATTAGGTGTGAATGTCAAAGACCTAAAAATAATAATTATGGGTAAAGATTGCCCTTTACTCCCTAATCTCATGGGGATATTTAACATATTGTTCTAAACATAGTTTATTTAATCCATTACTATATTTAAAATAAAATAATGTAGTTAATTCTTTAAATAAGACAATTTAACTGTGCATTATTTAAATACTGGGCTTTGTAAGAGCAAATTCCAGTTGAATAACATAGGTCCATATTTAAAAGTTTTATGCTCAGTGGCTGAAAAATCATGTTTTTATGCATTATTTGACACAAGTCCAGGCGTTTGTAATTTCATTGGACTTGTTTTCAAATGTTAGGAGGAGATTATAGTTGCATTGGCATGAAATCATCAAGGCCTGGACAAGAATTTTGATGTGTGGGAAGAAAGGGGCAGGATGGATTTTTGTATACATCATAAAATAAGAAGCAAGGAAACTGTAGTTTCACCTGTTTGTGCACTAATGTGCAAAACTTAATTCATAATGGCAGTTCATAACAGATCTTCTAGTCATCAGTGCTAATTAGCAAGTTTCCACTGTATGTTTCTGTGCACGCTTGTTTATTTATTTAGGGAAGGAAAGAGAGGATAATTTAGCTCTGACTAGAAATGTGGTTACGGATCATTTTAATTGCCTGATGGAACTTGTACATATAGGGTCTTTTTCCCCTGGATCTTTGTGGTCTTTACTCATTATGAACGGAAGCCAGTAGGTCTACAAAAACCCAATATGTTAAATAGGTTGGTCTGCCGCGTAACCAAAAGTTATAATCATCTTTTATATTTTAGGTTTGTTATTGATTAGTGTAGATAATTCCTGATAAGTGAAATCTAATTAAAACCAGTCATTATGTGTTAAAACTTGGAAAGAACTTGCAATAATGATGCCTAAACCTATGGTGTTTGTTAAAATATTTAGCTGGAAATTTTTTTAAAAAGTGATATGTAGAAATTAGGGTTGTCAATGTGTAGTTGACTATACCATTAACTAGGCTTATCAGTTAATCTTGTCAGCTGCACACATTTACCCTCCTTCCTCTGCTGCCTCTGTATCAAGGGCAGCAGGAGTGGAAGAAACCATTGTTTGTGGGGAGCTTGGATCCCCCGCAGACAGGGGCTTCTGCCACCCTCTATATCAGAGGCAGCAGTGTGGGGCAGCAAGCAGTTGGTCTGTGCATGGAGCTGGTTTTTAAACTGGCTCCCCTCGGGGACCAGCTCCCGCCTGGCACCCAGCGCTGCTGCCTCTAATACAGAGGCAGTAGCATGGAGTAGCAGGGGCTTCCTGGGAGTGGGACCAGAGCGCACTGACTGCCAGCCCCACCCACTGGGGACTATAGAATAGACGAGTAACTGATAAGAATTCATGCAGTTACTCGACTACTCAATTAACACACATCTAACATCTCTAGTAGATATAATAGTTGTGCTATATCTGAAGTTTCAGTCTTCATCATGTATCTGAGCCTTCAGTTAAGCTAAAAATAAAAATAAACAGAAGTGCTTTTCAGATGTTTTGTAGTTCCTTCACTGTAGAGCTGGTGATTTTCTAATATAGAGTCATGGACAGGTGAGGCTGGAGGGGACCTTGAGAGTCATTTGCTCTCCTCTCACCTCTCCTCCCTACCCCCGTATCCTGAGGCACAATCAACGTGTATGGCAGGGCTCGGCAACCTTTTCAAACCAAAGAGCCAAACTACATCAAAATTCAGAACAAGTGGTCAACAAAAAGCTCATTTGCGTGACTGAAAATATCCAACTTAATATTATTGATAATTGACGTGATGATTAATAATAGCATAAATGAAACCATAGTCACAGACTTTATTTAATGGGACTTCTGCTGCTGCTGGAAGTGCAGTTTGTGTATATGGTGTGCAGGAATCAGGGTTGGAGTGTAGGAGGGGCTCAGGGCAGGGGGTTGAGGTGTGTGGGAGGTGAAGAAGGCAGGACAGGACACTGGGGGTGGGAAGTAGAGTATGTGTGTGTGTGGTGGGGGGGTGTCCTGCAACCAGATTACATCTTAACTGGCTGGGGCTGGACTTCTTCACCCAAGCAGCAGTGGCTGGATAAAGGGCCGGGCCAGGATCACTGCAGTCCGATCGAGGCCTTCATCCTACCCCTGCCGCAGCAGGAGGGGGGCCATCACCTGCCCTTTCTGCTGCCAGATGGAGGCTGGACCATGGGGCATGCCATATGATCTGGGCTGGGAACAGGACCTTGTGTCCAGATGTGGGCTGGGCCCCGATTGGGGCCTTGTTGGCCAGGTTGCTGTGGCTGGAGCCCACGCCAGGCCGCTGTGGCGGCGCTGTTGCAGAAGTTGCAGGGCTGTTGGGGCTGGGCTGAAGGATCTGCACCAGGAGCGCGGTGGCTGGGGACACACTGTGGCAGTCAGAGGGGGCTGGAGCTGGGCTACTGCAGCCAGATGGAGGCATTGGCTTCCACCAGCCCCTCTCACTCTCCTGGCTGGGAGTGCACGTGTGTCCCCTACAGCATGCCTTCAGCTGGCCCTTTAAACGAGCAGTCTCCCCAGCTGGCTCTTGCCACAAAGCAGCTGGTTCTTATGTGGTGTACCAGAGAGCTGCCCCAGGACCCCACCTGCCTCCATCGGGCAGCACAGGGACCCCACACAGAGCCAGGACAACCTGCCCACCCTTGCAGGATTGAGGCCCCGCCCCTGCATGTGTGCCGCTTCTGCCCACTTGGACCTGCCAGCATGCAGAGGGCTGGGAGAGAAGGAAGCAGTGGTGTGGAGAAATCTGCCTCCAGTGCCCCTGAGAGCCGCTCCGGCTCCCCACTGGCTTCCACCGGGAGGTACAGGGACCCTGCACAGAGCCAGGAGCCCCGTATGGGAGGGGTGGAGGAGGGGGGGCCCAGGAGTGGGGTGAGGAGGTAATGGGGGAGTTGGGGACTGAGATTTGATGGGGTCGGGCTCAGAGGGTTGGAGGTGTTTAGAGTAGTTTTTCTGCTTCTCACTTGTGTGGTCCCCAACTGATAGTTCCCCACCCCTGCCATAAATAAAGAAAACATTGAAACTTTTGTGTTGGACATAAAATAATATTTTTATTTATTTAAAATGAAGTTTGATAAACTAACATGAGAAAGTTAAAACACTTAATCTGTTTAATAATTTAAAGTAAACCATTCTCTCTAGCTGTAGCACTAGCAAAATGGCTCCGGGGGAATTATGTAGATAACGGTGAGTTTCCATTAGCAACTGGTGGTCCATGGAAAGGTTTACATTGAGCCAGGTGGTTCACAGACCAAAAAGACTGAG